CACCCAGCCGGGAATCGAACCCAGGCCATTCTTGCTGGGAGGCGCCACCGTGCCGCCCTAAAGAATAAACAAAGTAAATGAAATCAAAAGTTCTTGACCTTTGTAGATCAGTCAGTGATACTGGACAGATGTTCACACTGGACTAATACCCACTCTACTAAATTCTGACATTATTAACCCAGTTCATTCCTAACAGCTATCCCCATGATAAAGCATTAAAAGCCATATTTTTATTCACTTTCTTCAGATTTGTGTTCTGGCAAGCTCTGAGAACATCTGGACCAAAGAAAGTGCAAAATGTTCAGATTGATGTGTTAAGAAGGTCCAGAAACTTGGAGCTTTGATGAAGCTGCCTGGTAAAAGATACAAGTTTGTTTGTCCCCCTCATCTCCACGGTGAAGTATGGTGGTGGATCTAAGATATTTTTCAGCTGTGTTTTTTATTTCCAAAGGCCCTGCGCGTATTTTACCATTAAATGCTAGGTGGTCAGACTGGATCATGGTTAGACCTTCCAGCAGGACAAAAAACTTGTAGGAAAACTTTAAAGATTCAAACAAGAAATGCTTACAGAACAAAGCTTTTACAGTGGTAAACAATTTTTTAGATATTGAAATTGAAATATTAAAACATATGGCTTTGGGTCTACATTGCTGCGACAGTGAGTCAGAGATCCATGAACTAACATAAACAACTTCCCTCTCTCTTCCTTCCACTTTTGGATGAACATAACATAAAAATTGCAAAATAAATGGCTATACCATCTGAATGTTTTGGCTTTGTTTTAAAGATGTAGTCTATGTTTTACAAAATTGCTAATAGCCTACTTAGCTGTTGAAATGCTGCTAATTTCACAGAGCTGACGTTAGCAAGCCTTACCCAAGGTTAGTTCATATGTTATGCTGCTATGATGCTTGTGTTAATCATGAAATTGACTAAACACACTGTGCTCTGGGAAACTCACACTTGATGTTTTTCTTTTTCCTGACTTCCTGAGATGCCTTGGAATAAGAAATAGAAGTGTGTTTATGCAAAAACACATCTTTAGACGTCACTTATGACAGTGTCCCCCATTTTATACTGATATCATTTATTATAGTTACTTCCAAATTTCATTTCCAGTTTTCAATTTCTGTTTTTCTTTCTCTTCATGTAATCACCATATATTCATGACGTTATTAATCATTAATCACATGTAAGCTGTAACTGCAGTGCCTTCTAAGGTTTTAGAGCTTAGTATGTTTGAGCTCGGCCTAGAATGTTAGTATGGTAGGTTTGTGTAAATAATCAGCATTTAATTAATATTATATGCTTTTTTGATCATTTTCTTTCATATGTTATCACAGGGGGGATTGTTGGATTGTGGTTTATTGTATAACTCCTATATCGATGTTGAGGGAACAAAACCTTTTATCTCCATTTCTCGTTTTTCAGTTTTTGACACAGTTTGAAAACGCCTGTTGTCCTTTACATTGTGTGTAAATTTAATGATGAATGGACCAAAAGAAGCAGCCCAGAATGACTCAGAAAAAAGTCTGGTTCCATTGACTTACATTAAAAGTAAAGTATGTTTTTTCCTTCTCCTGTAAATTTACCATTTGGAGATACGAGGGTTCAGTCTGACAGCAGCGATATGCTTATTCTGTCTATCAGAATAGTCATTCTGTCTCTAATGGCCTGATCTTTTTAGGTCATCCTAGAATGTTCCGTATGTTTCTATGCCTCTCTGTCAACCTTGATATCTACGGGGGGTGGGATTGTTTGGGCCAGTTAAGGGTTATAACTCTGTACAATTTGTGTGCACTCCTGCTTTCCTGTGGGAGAAGGAACCAACCGGTGATCTGTGAACGTTTCTGTATGAAGACGTCCTGAAATAAATCTAACCTTCTGCACGAGTCTACTTTATTCTCAATAAGTTCTGAAATGACTTCACAAGTCAGCAGAGCCTGGTAATTGAATCAATACAAACGGTCTATTAAAACTTGTTAACTTACATTAAAAGTTAAGAACATTTGTTCCTCTTCATGAAAAATGGCCATTCTGAAGATATGAGGTCTTCCTCTGGGAGCTCTACAGTTGTGTGCAGCCATGTGGGCGTGGTGGAACAGGACCTTATCTGTAAAGGCCTTCAGTGTGAGGGAGGGAGCCTCGTTGAGTCCCACAGATTGTGATATCAGCGCGGGGAGAAATGAGATGGCAGACATGCACTGTAATAGTGTTGGCTGGGCCCAGGGGAGGGATTGTGTATCTGGGTAATGAATTGTGCTGAGGCAAAACCCCGTGAGGCCTGCAGCCACACGTGGACTGGGTAATGGATATATATTCCATTTCCCTTATTGGCTCTTGTAGTGGCTAATTGCCAGACGTAGATGCCCGCTGTCTGGAGAACAGAGCTGAAGCGAAAACGAAGCGTCCCGCCTCCTGGTCCTACTGATCTTCCGCTCGCCTGCCTTCTAGACCAGTTCCATATTTATGAACGTCTTATCGTAATGATGATTGATGCTGTGGTTTATGCTGCAGCTTGCTCAGAGCTGTGTTGTTTAGTCAGAATGGTGGATGAAGTTACCCTTGAGAGCTCAACCGAGACTTGCCTTGCTTGGCTATTTCCTCCAGTAGTCTTTAAAGAGAAGGTCTTTGGTGTGGGAGGTCAGCCTGTTTCTGTTTAACAAGGACGTTTACAGCCTTTCGCCTTCAGGACGTCTGAATGACTTATGAAATGTCTGCTCGCGGCGCTGTAAAAACAGAAGGAGGTGGTGCGGCTGTTACACAGCTCTCAATTATGCATCTATGCAATAATGTGTCTTACCTAACGCATCGGTGGAAATGCGTCCAGTGTTAGTGTTTGTTCACTTTAACTCATTAACATCTGCCCTGGAATTGCAAAATCAGCTGCCTTTTAATGATATACAAATGCTGACCCAGTACAGCAAGCAGTAATTACACTATAGAATCACAGGCAGGCTAATAAAGCACAGGCCTTGGGTTTTCTCCCTTTTAACCTTTCAATGCTGAGAGAGAGCTTTTTCTACCTTCTACTCTTCTGTGTTAATGACATGATTTCTCGATGAAAGAACATGATCAAAGCTGAAAATTGGTAGATTTTTATATTTGTTCGTGTCAGAAACTACAGATTTAACTTATTAAAATAACAACAAAACTCTTCCCACCTTTCTTCGGATATTAGATCCTAATTTAATTTGTAATTTGATTTTTAGTTTAAATCACTTTCTCTTTTCTTTATTGTTTTAATCATGTTTAATCATGTGTTTAATTTCTATTCTGCTTTACTTTTTTAAACAATTCTATATTTTTTAATTTGTAAAATACTTTAAATGACAGAAGTGTGTGAAATGTGCTATATAAATAAACTTGCCCTGCCTTGCCTTGCCTGGGCTTCCAGGCCTTTAGCCAAAATATTTTTAACCAGCCCTGGACTGTCATGTTTCACCCCAGCTCGTGTGCACATCCATCTTGTCGTCCATGATTTCATTCAGAGGTACATTCACCCACGCCTCAAACTCTCATGCTATTACAAATGCAGCTATAGACTATAATGTTACTAGAGAAGGAAAGAGAGGAGGCACAGGGGTGCAAGAGTGCGTGTGCAAGAGAGAGAGCTTGGGCAAGAAAGAGCGAGGAAGATTGCAAGAGAGAAAACTCACAAGCAAATAGAATTTCTGTAAAAAGAGCGAATCGACTACTATAAAACGAAAAAATCACTCACAGGAAAACAAACCCAGCTCGAGCTGGGTTTTGCCTGAAGAATCAGCTGAAGCTCAATGTTTCATCAGCCTTGTTTTGGGTAGCAGACCTCTGAAAAGCAGATTACCAGATGAAATGGTTTGTTTTAGTATTTCGATTGATCTTAAAGTCTCTTTATATTGACTTATATTGAACAGTAAGAGTGTTTTTGCCTTCTGCTGTAAAGTTACTATTTTGGAGATACCTGGTTCTTTGGACAGGGATGATATATAAATTGTATCTCATTAGAAATATGTAGATGAGATATTTGATAGAGAGAGAGAGGTAATGTAAAGAGGTATTTAATAATGGCTTCATTGTGGAATTCATTTTATGGTTTTGTTTACAAGACATGTCAGTGATCACTTCTCAATTCCTGCAAGATTTGTTGATGTATAGATCCTTACATTAAATAAAAAAAAAGGTTTTATAAATCTTGGAACATTCCTACAGTGAAATGGGCAGAGCCTGGATCTTTACACGCCCAGCCAGCACCCCTGCTGTGAGCTACCCTTTCCTATCACTGTCCAAAAGAAGCCCCATGCTGCCTTTATTGTTGGATGCACTGCGATTCCTGAGATATATTCTTACCATAAAGTGTGAAGTATATTTTCATTGTCTATATATTTATATTTATGTGTTTATGACTGCACACAAAATACAAATCTATCGTATTTTTAGCTTTGTGTTAGATCATATTTTTATTTGTCAAAATGCTTTATACATAGTTGCATATGTAAAAGTTTGGTCGCCTCTGGACAAATGACGTTGTTGATTTTATGTGTGAATAAGTTAACACATCCTGTACAGAGAACACAGTTCTGCGCATTATAATGGGGCACATGTGCAAGCGGCACATTTTACATTTCATGTTGTGTTTTTTAACCTAATATATAGAAATTGTTCACTAAAATTAGCAGAAAATTCCATATTTAATTGTGTTGCCTGTAGAGGAATAGTGTTAACTTATTTTCACTTAGAAGGCCAACACAACGGGTAATTTGACTGCGGATATACAAACGTTTGCATACGACTGTACCTCTTCTTTGCCCCCTTTCCTTAATTTACAGTAAATATGCACTTGACAGGTCCTCAGGTTGCTCAGCTGATTCCAGTTTGTTGGTGCTCTATTTCTATAAGATCTTATCACCTCAAAATAGAGGCTGCTGGCTTTCAGACCCTCAGCTGACAGCTTGTCCAAATGGTTTGTTTTACTGAAATGCCATATTTTTTCTTGATGGGTTGTGTTCTCTCTTCCTCAGGCGAAAGTGTGACTGAATGCAGTGTGCCTGAGATTCTGCAAAAAGAAGAAAAACACGCCAGCCAGCAGCTGAAGAAAAGAGGTCAGTCGTTTACAGACCAGATACACTGTCCTCTCCTCGGGAATAATGCTGTAAATCATTCACCCTGCTTTTTGTGTTCTTATTCAGAATTTAGAATTCGGACATATCCTCCAGCTAAGATACGACAGGAATCACCCAGCCTTATTATGCTTTTTTTTTCCTGTGCTCTAGTAAGATGTGGAAATATGATTGCAGTGGAAAGGATTAGGCCCTTGTCATTTAGAAAATCAGATCAGTGCTCTGTCATTCTGTTGGCAGGGATCCAGCGGCGATGAACCCGCTGTGTAGAGGAAATGCACTGAATATGCATGAGCCGCCGAACTTCAGGGAACATCGTTCAGTGTCGGAGTTAAACTGACCCTTTTGACTCTTGCCGGGTATTGCGCGGAGTTCCCAGGTGTGCGGTAGCTCCAGCTCAGGATTTCTGACTGATGATGTTGACCTGCGCAGTCTGATCCCGTCCTAAGCCTCGTCAGGTTGGAGAGCGGCAGCGTTGGCCAAATGTTTTCCCTCTCGCTATCGGACTCATTAAGGAAGGACACCTGTCCGCCTGTGGGCAGAATTCCATTAGTGGATCTGGAGGTTGCAAGGGTCGATCAAAGACATGGCCTCATCTTTGTTTTAATCAGTGCACCGAAAGTCCGTCTGAGCTTGATTGCCTTTTCCGGCCAGACGTGTCCGTAATACCCGATGGCCTGCTTTTTGCTTCAGAAACAGCAGTAGAAAGAGTGATTGTGGACGACATGGCAAAAAATACATCACAGTAGTTCTCAGTATATGAATGTATTGCAATATTTTTGTTTAAGGTTTACAAACAAGCTGGAAAACAGTAATAAATAAAATAAACTGTTCAAAGACGATTTAGTCAAGGTTCAAGATACGCAACCTCTGGCGGTGAAGTAGAAAAAGTACACTGGAAAAAATATTGCAGCTTTTAAACTTAAAGAAGTAAGTAACCATCTGAGTCCTGGTAAGGAGGGTGGACCTGCCTTACTGGTTAGTCTACGTCCCAAACCTTATCTATGGTTATGACCTTATATGAGGTAATGACCAAAAGAATGAGATCGCAAATACAAGTGGTGGAAATGAGCTTTCTTCGCAGGGTGGCTGCTGCACTTTACTTGATAGGGTGAGGAGCTCAGTCATCCAGCAGGACCTCAGAGTAGAGCCACTACTCCTCCACATTGAAAGGAGCCAGTTGAGGTGGTACGGGCATCTGATCAGGATGCCCCCTGAACGCTTCCCGGTGGGGGTTTACCAAGCACTACTGGGACGAGAACCCTAAGTCATCCTAGGACCCGCTGGAGGGATTATACTCCAAGTTGGCCTGGGAGTGGCTCGGCGTCCCCCAGAATGACCTGGAGGAGGTTGCGGGGGACAGGGTCGTCTGGGATTCTCTACCCTAGCTGGATTAAGCAGTTAAAGAGAATGAGTGAATGGAAATAAGTAACCGGGTTAGCTTGAAATTTCTAGTTGGAACTTTGAATATTAAGTTAACAGAAGAATAGTTTGTGTTTTACACCTGCTAACTTAATAGTACACGATCAATGAATTTCAAGTTAGCACGGTTATTTACTTTTAAGTTCAAAAGCGGCAAAAATTTTTTACAGTAGGTGCAATACTAGACCCTATTTAGTGACGTTTTAGCAACCCCCCCCCATCCCCTTACCGTTTTTCATCTCAGCCTGCCTTGAAGGTGTCATTCTTTCCCTCCAAATTAAAATCCCCAGATTTTGTGATCGGTTTCTGCTGTTACTGCAGCGCTGCAGTAAACAAAGCAAACTTTCAATCGAGTTCTCCTCTTCACTCTGCAATTTCGTGGTTGGAGCTGTACTAAAGATTCTAAAACTTTTCAAAACCCATCAAAGCTGAGCCTGAATGACCGTCAAAGTACAGTTTGGTATAATGGTTGTTTGCATATGTAAAAAAAAATGGTGACACTTTATTTTGAGTGGTCTTTTTTGGATAAAACAAACACTGAACAGACTCTCAGTAACATGTCAAAAACATGTGGGGTTAGGATTAGGTTTTGGATTGAGATTAAGGTTAGGGTTTGGATTAGAGCCACGGTGAGGGTTAGGTCTTTCTGGTAAGGTTGGGTAAGGTTAGGTTTTGTATAATGCAAGCAACATATTAACAATACTTAATGTAAGTAATGTATCAACAGAACATCTACAAGATACTTACTTCAGTGTATTCAGATGCTTCACTACTGCTACTTCAGTATATGTTGTTGATGTGTTACTGACACTCTGTTAAGAGTTTATTAATCATCTACAAAGGACCACTCCAAATAAAGTGTCACCGAAAAACCTAATAACATATACAAATCACTTTATTAAGAAGTTGAATTTAAGAGTTAACTGGTATAGGCTGCACATCTGTCTAACCAAAAAGAGGAGTGTCGAGATGAGGCCTTTTCAAATGCGATGCCATGCCATGTCTCTACTCAAAAAGAAGCAGGACTCTCTTCTTAGGGACAGCTTAACACATTTGTTTGACAAGAAAGCAAAGACCAGGCAATACGGATGCCAGATGACGCATAAACAAGTATCAACTGACGTATAATAGCACATAGAGAACCGCTCTCCTACTCATAGCACAGATCAGGCTCTCACAGCACCTACATGAGGTCATGACAAGGCTTTGTAAGGCTGACAAACTGACAAGACACAATGTAAATTTCAGGACACGTCAACTAATAACAGCATCTGTCATTTTGTTCTTGATTTAATATCTTTTAGTAACATTAGACCGTCCTTAACACCTTAAGGTTTTTCTGCATACACAAATGACCATCATAGCACACTGCACCTTGCCAGTCACTCAGGGTCAGCACTGACAGGTTTGGAAAGCGTCACTAAGATTCTACTTTAGTACATACAAAAACAGAAAACGACAATGGATATCTGACTTTCTCTCTTTCACTCCTTCTCCTCTCTGTACTCTACCATTAATGCTTGTCTGTGGGCGATATGTCAACATTGTGTTTTCGGCAGCAATAAACAATTTATGGATTGTGACAAGAAATTTCGTGTGTGTCCATGTAAAGGATTTATTTTATGTCTAATACATAATGTAGGCTATCTGATTCATTATTTCACAAATTTCGCATAGCTATTGCACAGCTTTTTGAAAATATGTACATCCAAAATCATCTTACTGCTCATACTGTTCCCTGCAGGTATCTGAAACAGGCAGGTGAACTGTGCATTATGTTGCCATTTTTAAATAGGGTTTAGGATTCTGAAAGCAAGCATAACCGCCATGAGATAAGATCACTGGCAAAGTATTCACCGTTATTAATATTTTGTGAAATGTAACATTGTTTGTGATGAACCCACGTTTTGTCTAGGGTGCTGTGGGATCAGTAACATGTGGCATTTAAAAGACTGAACTGTTGATGATGGATTAAAAGCTGGAGGAAAAGGCCAATACAGCTTTTGAAACTACTTTATTAAAAGCATCCACAATAAAATGGTGTTCCGTGATAACTAGTACCACACTGGAAGAGTCAAACTGTGGACAGCACCAAAGAAGACAACACAACAAAACCACCATGCTTACTTAGACTGAAACAAGAAGTACTTAGCTAATCTACAAAAGGAAACAAAGCCAACTACTCTACAATTCCCTGGCCAGTAATCAAAAGGACATGTGGTGGTGCCCTCTGACCAAGGGAACTAGACAGAGTGGACTTCTACTCTACATGATGCAAATGTTTGGGCCCATTCCTCTTACCTGTTTGAAACCCCAGGTGGTACAAATAATCAGTCTCTTATAAAACAAAGTTAAAAGCATGCAGGTAAAATACCAACTAAGGCACACTCATACACCAAGTTAAAGGAAGTACTGGTGAATTACCTAAAACAAAAGCACACCCTCAGTACAAGAGATTAAAACACAATCTAAAACACAGCACACATGTTCAGTCCTCTCTCTCTCTCTCTCTTCAGCCATCTTGAAGGCCTCCTTTAAAACATGGTCTCCTCCCCCAACTGCACCAGCCAGGCCTCTGATTGGTCAGTGGTCCTCTTCACTTAACTGATTGCACAGCAGATACACCTGTGAAGGGAGAGACCAGAAGAGAGACACACACAAACACAAAAAAACAAAATATGCTTACACGTAACATTGTTGTTTAAGCTGTGAAGGACCACACTCAGTGTGCTGTATTGTGATTTAGGCTATATCGTGCATTTTGATGTCCTCTCAAGCAGCGTTAGTATAATGTCATATTTTGATCATCTATATTTAAATAAGATAAGGCAATATCCTTAATAAACAGCCCACCTCATGGTCATAAAATGCTTGGTAATGCTGGAAAACCCTGAATGAACTCAGAATGAACTCCTGTCTAAAAGACACAATATAAGTTTCAAGCCATGTGACGTTATAACAGTGTCTGGCATTCCACACTGCGCTTTGCTGATCATTCAAGCTCAGCATCAGCGGGTTTTGAAAAGCTTCATGTCAGAATCTTTAGTACAGTTCAAACCACCAAATCGCAGAATGAAGAGGAGAGGTTTGCTGGTTGTTTACTGCAGTGCTGCATAACAGCAGAAACAGATCACAAAATCTGAGGATTTTAATTTTTTAGGAAAAGAATGACACTTTCAAGGCAGGCTGAGACCACAAGCGGAGTGCGGGAGTTGGGTCTAGAACAGCTCGTTCTGATGTTACTAAAAGACGTTAAACCAAGAGCAAAACAACAGACACTGTTATTAGGTGAGATGGCTCGAAATTTCCACTGTGATTTTATACAGGAGTTCATTCAGAGTTTGCTACTATTACCAAGCATAGTCACGACCTCATGCAGGCAATGAGACCAGCTGTTTATTAAGGGTATTGACTTATGTCATTATTTAAATATAGACAATAAAACTATAACATCATGCTAACGCTGCTTGAGAGGAGACTAAAATATGTAATATAGCCTAAGGCCCAATCCCATTTCTTATTTTTACAACTTGTTTTCGAGTGTTACCTTGCCTCTTTGG